ATGATCTATGTCAATATCTCAGCAACTGCGCACCTACCCCTCCCATTACCCAAAACAGTCAACTGATAACAAGTTAAGATTAAAATTGGGTTAAGGGTGGAGTACGTGCGAATTTGCTTAGATACTGACATTGATCCCAAACATACCATTTAGTTTTGATTCAGAGTTGCACCGAATCACATTAACAGCAAAGATGTAACGACCGCTACAAACGTAATTGACCTGGATCCGTGTGTGAGGTAAATAACTGAGTATTTCTACTGTAAAAGTTGGTGGAAATCGAAAGTAAAAGTCAAAATCACGACGGCACCGATTTCTGAGATCGTTAGACCCATAACAGTTCCGAAATGCATCGCACCATCTCAGTGAAGAATGATAACCCAAACCAACTGTGTACCAGATGTTGTTTGTTCCATTTTTCAGGTAATTGCAGGTATTGGAACTCTGTTTCCATAACGCGGTGTTCAAACATGGGGGCACTAAATATCCGAATAAAATGTTTTTTTAATAATTTTATAAGATTTTAAACATGAATCAATGATATATACACATAAATTCAAATAATAAACAAGTCAGGCACAAACCTTTTCCTGTTTTTCTCGATTGGCATTCTATGGAGGTAATCCTGATGGCGAATGTCTTCAAAAAGTAGTTTCTTCCGTATTTTGGTATACCGCAATACTTGACGTAAACGTGTTTGAAGTGAGAGACGTCATTCCCTCCTTCCCCTGTACTTATATCGAAGAAAGATGAACGGAGTCTATAAAACTTTAAGGAGCAATAGTTTTTCCACTCGGTTGTTTGATGAAGGCATATTGAAAAATAATCACACCACAACTGTAAACACTGAGTAAAGTCACGTTTCTGGTATTCCCGAGAACTTCTTATTTTACAGTCAGCTTTTAACCAATGTTGAGAAGTGGCGTTCTTAATTTGCTGGCAGTTACCTTTCTTTAGCTCTGAGATGTTAAGCGATTCATACGAATAACAATATTTTCCTGTTTCAAAGGAAAAAAATAAAAAAGAACCCCTCAGTCCAAATAATACACACCCAGTGATATAATCTTAGGAGGCAGATTACATTTTAACAAAGGGACTTCGAAAAAGCCTTTCCCTCCCCTGGATGAGATGCTAGTCCATCGCAAGGTAACCCCCCGAATCTCATCAATCTTCCCTGGCAATTTGCCAGTAACCATTTATACTCTTAGGGGGAGAGACACACTGTGAAAGTAAGGCGCCCTACTAACGAACACAAGACAAGGTGTCGAAACCAGACTACTCGACACGGAATACAGTGTTCTGAGTATTAAAGAAGAAGAAGAAAGAACAAAGAAGCTCACAGCAGGCAATATTTAAATTGCAAGGAGTAAAATAGCCTAGATGCTATTCTAACTAAAACTGTCAAAATCATTTTTTAGATTTTTTAAGTCTCGGGCGTTTTTTTTTTTTTTTTCAATATTTCACGATTTTGACGCATTTTAATCCGCCATTAATTTCCTCGTGATTTCGTCGGCCACCTTACGTCACGAATAACCACGCGTAGGTCGACATTTGTCCTACGATTATTTGCGTCGAAACAAAGCCAGGAGGAAAAAAATATCTTTACATTTCTACTATTTACATGGAAGAAAAACCAATTTGATATGTAGAGTCTAATGATAACGTTATCAAAAAGCTGGTCGCCGGTAAGCAACACTGGCTTTTTAACATGCAGCCTTGGCGCGATATGAGAATTAATTTTATTAAATAAATAAACCCCTTTTTCCTTGCCAGTAGGTCGGCTGTTACTTTCCTCAGCTGAGAGATTGCCCTCCAAATTTCACCATTTCTCTTGAAGCTTTGCTTCCCGGCCAAGTATTCAGTTTATTTCAATTTCAAATCCGTGAACAATATCAATACTTCTTTAAATTTAGAAGCGTTCGGTCTTCCTCGCCTCTTGAACGAAAAAAAAAATGGCATTCGCAAAGAAGATACATTGCCAAATGGATCTTTTTTTAATAAACTAAATTCATGCAAAATGAATGCTAAGTTGTACAAAAAAGCTAATTTTATCCTGCTCCTGGCTTAGACTCGGTTGACAGAGAACTAAAACGTATTCAAAATGTCTTTCAAAGCACGAAATAGAAAGCAAATACATTTCCCAGTATTGGTCATTTTTCTCTTCTTTCATATCGTCTGTCACTAAAAATGACTTACCTTGAGCTGTATTCTGAACATTCCAAATAACTACAAAAGAAAGGAAACACAACAGCGGCAAAACATGACAAAAGTAAACCATTCTTTTTAATAACACGGCAGTGTTGCACTCGAGTCGTTGAGGCATTGCTCAAGTGGAAAAGAACAGGTGGAATTTTAAGCAAACAAACGATTTGAACTGAATATTGGGCCACGGCTGATTTTATTTTCAGTGCTACCTGTCACTCTGACATGTTTTTCGTCACAGTCAATATCGATTCCCTTCACGGTTACTTCTTGAGGTAAATAATTTGGTATGCTTAAGTGACTGTGGTCTTATTTCCTCAAACTGCAGTCACAGAAACATATTTTGTTAACCTTTTCATATTATCAGTGGAGTATTCGTTTCCGTTTGGATCTGTTATAATTAACGCATTTTTCCTGATGTAAAAAAAATGATTAGGTTGAATAGGAGATATAAGCATGATAAAGCGATGGAAGAAAACCAATATTAAGGTGTATTAGAAAGCACGTTTTAAATTGGTATTAATAATGGTAGTTATATGATTGACTGATATGTCTGTCAGTTCTTTAAACGCCCACCTCCTTTCATGCTGAAGGAGGCCAAACTGGTTCAAATTTGTTCCATTTTTTTTTTTTTTTTTGAATAAGTTAGTTTAAACAGCTATTTTAATTTTTAATTAAACCTTCGCCTTGAGGTAAATAATTTTATCTCCTAAAATCACCAAGATAGAGCAGTCCATCAATTCCAACTGACCTGAAAGTTCAGTATTGGCTGAGTACTAAACGGAAACATTACCTCATCGTAATGAAAAAAAAAATATGGGTAATATAAGGGGCATAATGCATTTTTGATAATGAAAAGAATGGCATATACCATAATTTAAACGTAGTCGAAATTGGCTTTATATTCGTCTAAGCGTTTTACGTTAGTTTTGCAGAATTTATCAGACGATTTATGCGACAATAAACTTTTTACACGGTCAGTTAGAAACTCTCATGATGTGGAATGGTGAAAAAAAAATTACGACCATTCTAATCCAAATGAATAATAGAGGACTACATTGTATTTTTATTACCTCATGTGCTATGAAAATTTTTAAAGAAATGATGATTAAAAAATGCAAAATCTTTACCAAATCAAAATTAGTTGAAGCAAAAAGGCTTCTTGAGCTATTGCATAGAAAGGAATCATTTTGCCGTAAGCGGCAGCTATCAAGCTTTCTCTGTAACCAGTATATTTAAGATAATTAGCTTTGTTGTAGAGGAAAGGTCCAATCGTTTTATATGTCTTGGTTCTTTCTACACAGAATTCGAAAATCGTGGCGTTCAAGAATCATTTCGCGTCGTTACCGGGTTGGATGAATACCTTATGGCGGCTGATTTTCATTTGTTTTCACTCAATCATTACGCGACTGTATTGTTGTATTGATTCCGTGTATTCGTCCTTGGAAACTCGACATATTCAGCCAGCAATTATTCACAATTAGCCGATTATTTACTTTTTGTTTCCACAATGCTGATAAATAAATGATAAATGCTCATCACATTTTCCAGATTAATTGCATTTATGCGGTTTTATCCGGAGGTAAATCTTCAGTATTATGTTTACATCTAAATTGGCTTTCATTTGGTATGCAAGCAGCGACTCTTGGATCACGTAGCTTTTGATCGGTTGATTTTTATTGAAGTTTTCACCCTACGGAGAAAAATCTTAGAGCGGTGGAAATTTGGTTCAAATTACAACGTAGTTTTATATTTAGTCTGGTGAGAGAATTTTTTTTTCTTTTTTTTTTTTATTATTCTTAACTTTTATACACGAGTTTAATAATCAGCCACTCAGTATCTATTTATGGTGCTCCTAGAAGCAGACGAAGGTTTCGCTCATCAGGTGTTAAATAAGAAGAGAAAAATTAATAAAGGCAATTCATAAAGATGCGGTAATATTTACAGGAGTTGATTTAAGTGCTTCGAGACGTCAACAGAATCCATAAGCAAAATCAATAACTACAGCTTCAGAAGTCTGTAAATAATTTAGTAAGATCAAAGAAAACCTTATCAGTTAAATTAAAGTAGTTTTTTGTTAATATTTAGATGAATGGAATTTAGCTCTTTTGAACTACTTCTGACCTTGTACACAATTTTAAATCTACCACAAAAATCAGACCAAAATCAAATGATAATTATTTTGGATTAAAGAAAACCCAGGTTTTTTTACACTGTCAAATCATAAGTGCATGGCTTATTCAAACTTCTTACTTAAGTGTTATCAGCCACCCCAATGGAGACTCCATTGGACGATTGCCCCTCGCCCGATAGCATTGTTATCATCCTGGGCCCGGTTGTATAAAGGTTGGATAACACTATCCAAAGGATTAATCGCTATCAAGCGGATAAGTGATCGCAAAACTTATGGCATTATCCACCGGAAAGAGATTTATTTAGCGGATAGTGTTATCCGACCTTCGGACAACAGGTGCCTGATGCATATCAGCCGTGCTAAAATTATTCTCGCTCATTGGCCGTTGGACCGAGCCCCGTTAACCCATAATGTTTTGTATTAATCTAATTATGATCGAATAAAAAAGGAAGTACACTTTAGGTATGTAAAGTAGAGAGTGATGCCATACTCTCGAGAAAGTGAAAAAAGAAAAGAAAAACAAACAGCGAAACAAGCAGGATATTCATTCTGTTTCTTGCCTTTAGCTCTCAGGCCAGGTCTTTATTTATTATTACTGTTTTTTGTTTTTTTTTGCCTTTTTTCACTTAGGAAGTGAAAATAAATTGCATCAAGAAGTGAGGTGCATTTATTCTACCAATCTACGCAATGTGATAATCCTTTGTTCAGAGAGCGAAACACACGGCTCGAGACTCACGTTTTACGCATATGATACGCCACACACCTCACGATAGACTCAGCACGCATGACGCATGACGCACGTTTTTTAGTGTTTCTTGTTTTACGTGAAGAATCATAATAGATAATTACTATTCCCGCGACGAGCTGACTAACAAACTTGTAAACTCTATCTCTTAGACTGTGCCATTCCATTAGGCTCTATGGCTTGGCGCTTGTTGATTTTGAATCTGGAATAAACTAGTTGGCTGCATTTGAATTTTTGTTTCTTTTTTGTTTTACTCCATCGGCATCACTTTTGGCTGGTTTCTCTCTTCCGTGGCAGGGAAAATCATGCCAATTCTTTGTTGCAGTCGATCTCGAATCTGCAGGTGAAGAAAAATAGAAAAATCAAGCAAATAATTGATTATAATAAATTCCCTTGGCAGATAACCCTGTTCATGCATGTAGTGTTCAAGAATGAAGTTTACGAGAGGTACCATTAATACATCGCATCATAATGATAATTAGCAGGTAATTTAGTCTTAAAAACTGAGTTGAAAACGCAAATTAGCCACTGTAAAGGGTAAAAAAGCTGACGTTTCGAGTTTGCTACACTCTCCCACCGACGCAGCACCACAATTTCTTTAGAAACTTACCCCTTTATTCATAATGATAATTAAGTTGATAGATTAATGATGATAACAAAACCAAGAGCAGTTAAATTCGGTCTGTAATCATACGAGTTATCAACAAAATCGGATCCGGACGAACGCGAAGCGGGATATGGACATACTCGTATACAGAAGGCAGTAGTAATATACTTACTCAGCTACCATAAGAGATATTTTTTTTGGTAGCTTAGTTTTTCATTTCATGGATTCATGTATAGGTAAATATTGCATCATTTCTTGGAAAATCTCACTTGACTGTTCCCAACGCAGTGCAGATACATTTTTTTTGCTACCTTAGTTTTTTTCGGTCAAATACACGACCTTAATACATTATACACTAAGACTATCTTGTTTAGATAATTATCTTGATGACGTGGATTAGAGAAATATTGCATCATTTCTTGGAAAATCTCACCTGACTGTTCCTAACGCAATGAAGAAGAAAAATCAAGAAACCCTAATAAAGAAGAACGAACCTTAAATTATAGGTCATCATTTGGGAATATAACGCACCGATCAAAAGCTGAAATTTTTTATGTGATCGTGCTCTTCGGGATATACTTTAAAAACATTTATTATTACCCGCAAGGAATCAAAAGGTTGAGAAACTAACAAGCACAATTTTCAGTAAATAGCGAAAGTTTTGCTCAAGCCCAACCCTAGCCGTTGTCTCTACCATATGAGCGTTTAATACACATAACGATATTCGTTAATCATGTCAGAGAAACAAGTATGAGCAATACACGAGATCTTCTTGGTCTGAATTGTGCCAACTTTACAAGCTTCAAGAAAATATGAATTGCAAAAATTTAAAAATGTAACATAAACAAACATAGCTACACAATGGTTTCAAACCTGAGTAGAGTTAAGGATGATAAAAATGTAGGTGAATGCTCTATGCACTGGTGACAAAAGGCCAAACAACCAAGTGAATCCCAGAAGAGGAAGCAAAATAACACATGTCCTTATCCCAAGTCTGAAAGTAGGAAGGAAATATGAAATGAGCCTATAAGAAAGCTTGTTTAACTAGATCAATTTTATTAACCGGTCGCTGTGTTTAGCTAGATACGTAGTTTCTTCACATTATGCCTTAGCTGTGTGATTTGTTTTGTTAACTTCCAAAGTGGCTGTCTCCAACCAAGAGCATAACTGGGTATTGACAAACTGTCAGAGAAAACTGAGAAAACGCTAAGAGCTTACTTGAGATGGAAAGTTGACTCAAGGAAAGTAGCAATTTACTTAATACTACAAAATCCCTTTAAAATCTCGGCCGTGTGAGCCACTATGCTCGAGAGTAGACATTACCTGGTTTAATAAGTGAATTCAAAATCGCATACTACATTATTCTTAAAGAAAGATGTTTTAATAGAAATTTGATTTTGATAGACCTCGCTTACCGTGGAGTGACAGAACGAAAAACATCTTTCTTTATTTCTTTACCGAGCTCAAAACTTACCATCTCTCTAATTCCTATCTACATACATTATTCTTAATTAACAACGTTGCTCACCGTACGTGTTGAATAGTTCCCCTTTTTTGCTGCATTTTGGTCATTTCTCTGATGACTCGCACAAGAATCAGTATGTTCAGCTTAAAATGAAAACATCTCAATGACTGACAACGAACGAATTGGTGGGATACAGATAGGTAGAAAGAGGAACACAAGCAAACACTAGGACACAAACATGCAGAATGACAGCCCATAGTAAATAGTGCTCAGTAGAAAAACAACGATGATAAATTGTAGTCCATTGATTGTAGTAGAGAACACTCCTTATCAAGTATGGTTTTACTTACCACTTCAACTATTATCACAAACGCAATAAAAATCCAAATAAGATTGTTTGCAGAAGACATCCAGCAGCTATTAAAAAAATGAAAATGTCTTATAAAAAACCACAATTGGAGAGAAAATGGCAAAGGAATTTCAGGGTTTTTTTTATATCTATAAAGATTTCTCATTAACTGTTCATCGTCGACAAAGCTCTTGATTCCGTCTTTTCCTGCAGCGATACTCAAAGAAATAATGACCATTACTGCAGGAAAAACTGCAAGAGAAAAACAATAAGTAACTCGGAGTTGTGACAAGATACAACTGCAGACACTG